GCAACTCACTTCTCTGCTCACTTTACTTGTAGCTTGCTGACTTGTAACTGCCCCACTTCGTTGTGGCGGCGCCCTTATATACCTGCGCTCGCACTTATGGCAACTCTAGATTATTCCGAAGTTTATCGCTCATTATCTTTCTCTCGCTGTTCGCAGTGTTCATCCAACTTGACGTTTCTCTTTGTGGAACATTCTACGTCATTCTTCGAACATTCTGCCTATTTGTCGTTGTTCGCTTTGTGTTGCCGCAGTATTCGCCACACCCTCAAGGCTGATTCACATACAACTTTCTTCGCTTAATGACAAAAATAGGGGCCCGTAGTCATAGTCAAAATAAAGTCGACTTTAAAGTTAGTTGCAGCTTTTTTGACAGATATCCCATTGAAAATTATGTCAAAAAGCTGCAACTAACTTTAAAGTCGACTTTATTTTGACTATGACTACGGGCCAGGGTAAATAGGAATTTTTATTGCTATTATTAATGCATATTATTATATTGCTATCTATTTTACAGATAAAAAAAAATGGAGGAAAAGGAGAACGCAAAAGCTGTCAAAGCGTTTATTGTAGCATACCTTCTGCGTTTCACACTTTGTTGTCAAAGTTTGAGCTGTCAAGCAGAGCGAGGAAAGTTGTATGTGAATGGCCCTTCAAGGTTTCGAGGATAATCGTAACAATTGGTGTCAAACAAACTCAAACAGGAGTTGGAAAAGCGAAATTTAGCAACCTCCGGAAGAAAAGTTGAGTTACTATCACGGCTGCGAGAGGCTATGGAAGCAGAAGGCATCGACGTGGACAAATACGACTTCCAGGGTAAACTCGACGATGCATCCGCGAAGGATGAACAGAAGAATGAGGCCGCCTGTTCGTCGAAGGATGTGCAGCAGACATCCGGGAAGGTTGAAGAACAGCAAAAGTCTCCAAGTTCATCAACAGCTATGTACATGAACACGTTATTGGCTGCCATGTCACAGATGTCATCACAGCTGTTGTCACAGATGCAGGAGACACGTATATCTTCAGAGGTATCAGCGCAGGTGTCATCGCAGGTGTCGTCCCGGTTAGAAACTCAACTACAGGCACAGGAAGCACGCATATCATCACAGCTGGAAGCACAGGATGAAAAAATTACACAAATACAGGACAAACTTGAATAGAGACAGGAGAAAGTCGAAGCAAAGGTAGAAGAATTGGAAGGTCGTCTTCGTGATTTACAGTTGAATCGTCCAGCTACTTCGACGAACGCTCCCAAGGTAAAAACCCCATCCTTTGACGGCACGATTCCTTTCCAGGTCTTTAAGCTCCAGTTCGAAAAAACGGTTGCAGCAAATCACTGGAGCATGGAGGATAAATCCGCTGCTTTGTTCATTGCATTAAAAGGACCTGCAGCGGAAATCTTTCAGACTATTCCTGATTGTGAAAGGAACAGTTACGATGCGTTAATGGGTGCAGTGGAAAGACGTTATGGTAGCGAGCACAGGAGACAGATTTACCAGATGGAGCTGGAGAATCGCTGCCAGAAATCCAACGAGACTCTACAGGAATTCGCCTCCGAGATTGAAAGGTTGGCTCATTTGGCAATTGGAGATGCACCTGGTGAGCACCTCGAAAGGGTAAAAATCCAGAGGTTCATCAACGGAATGCGGAATGTGTATACCAAGGGAGAGACGTACGCGAATCCCAAGCCAACATTTGCTGAAACTGTCTCGTATGCTCAGACGCGTGAAACGCTGAAGAAATGCTGAAGAAGCTAATCCAACTGCTGGGCGAGAAAAAGCATGGCTCTGGCAAATGTTTTAAATGTGGAAAGCCAGGCCACTTCGCCCGCGATTACAGCGCAAGTTCCAGTGCGCTGAACAATTCAGCAGGACGCAAATGCAGGACTGAAGGCGATGAATCCAACTCCAATCAGTCGTTAAACTAAAACGAGCCAGCAGCAAGGGGCGCGCGCTGGTTCCCGCAATTGAATGCGCCATAATCTCTTTCTCGCAAATTGGCAGAAAAGCGAGCAACGTTACGGTTTGTGGATATGTGGACGGACAAGAGCGAGTACTAACTGTGGATACGGGCGCATCACATTCCATCATTCGATCTGCTTTGGTCACTAAAGAGGTAAGGCCATTACCTGGAGCAAGGTTGAGGACAGCAACTGGTGAGAACATCCAAGTTGTAGGAGAGGTAACATGCAAAGTCGCAATAGGGACGGTGTTACACAAGTCCATAGTCGCGGCGATTGTGGATGAAGTCATCATTGGCATAGACTTCTTGCTTGATCAAGGTATGCAGATCAACATGAAGAACAGGATTATGACGTATAACAACATGGAAGTGCCCCTTAGGTTTGGGTATGATGGCCCGTACAGCAGCAAGCGAGTGATCCTAGAGGAAAGCGAGCAGATTCCACCGAAGTCAGAAGCAGTTGTTTGGGCGAAGATTGATGGAGATTGTGGGACAAACAAATTGTGGGTTGTTGAAACAACACAAAATTTTACACCGGACGTACTTATTGGTAAAACCCTGGCTAAGACGCAAAAAGATGGACGCATCCCAGTTTGAGTACTCAATGAGTTCAATTCACCAATCAAACTCCGAAGAGGAACTATACTGGGGCAATGTTGAGAGGTAGAGGCAATCTTCAACTGCGGAAAATTACCTGAAAGCGATTCCATTGTCGAGAATGACATGGCGGAAGACATAAATGCTTGGACGGAAGGGTTGGAAGAAAAATACCAGCACAAGGCTAAGGAACTTCTCCGCAGATACCCCAACATATTCGACAGGGATGGCAGCAAATCAGGCAGGACAAAAGTTGTAAAACATCGCATTGATACTGGTGATGCAAGGCCAATCCGGCAAGCTCCTCGGAGTGTTCCACTTGCCAAACGTGAAACTGTTAGCCAAATAATAAAATAAATGGGCGAGAGTGGTGTGATTGAACCATCAGCGAGTCCCTGGAGTTCGCCGGTAGTACTTGTGAAGAAGAAGGATGGTCAAATGCGGTTCTGCGTAGACTACCGGAAACTAAACGATGTGACGAAAAAGGACAGCTATCCTCTTCCCAGGATCGATGACACTCTGGACTCGTTGACTGGAACAGAGTGGTTCTCAACACTCGATCTTAAGAGCGGTTATTGGCAAGTGGAGGTAAGTGACGAGGACAAGGAGAAGACAGCTTTCAGCGTTGGAAATGGTCTTTGGCAATTCACGGTGATGCCCTTTGGATTATGCAACGCTCCTGCCACTTTTGAAAGACTTATGGACCATGTGCTTAAGGGACTGCATTGGAAAACATGTTTGGTGTATCCAGACGACATTATCGTATTGGATAAAAGTTTTGAGGAACACCTGATTAATTTGGAAGAAGTTTTCCAGAGGATAGCTGGCGCTGGTCTGAAGCTAAGTCCCAAAAATTGCTTACTGTTCAAGAAGAAGGTGAACTACGTGGGACACAAGGTGGCAACGTAGGGCGTCTGTACTGCGAAGGAAAAGATAGAAGCAGTAAAGGATTGGCCAAGACCTAGGAACCTGCACGAACTACAAAGTTTCCTTGGGCTATGCACCTACTACCGCCGTTTTGTTCCGAATTTCGCCAGCGTTGCTAATAGCCTTCATGAGCTCACTAGGAAAAATAGAGCCTTCGAGTGGAACAAGGAGCAGGAGGAGGCTTTCCAAACTCTGAAGGAACGGCTATGCACTGCACCTATGCTAGCGTATCCCGTTCCAGGTGCAACGTTTATTTTGGAAACGGATGCTAGTGGTTATGCCATAGGAGGCGTACTGTCGCAGGTAATTGACGGGTAGGAGAAGGTAGTTGCCTACTATAGCCGGTCGATTGGAAAGCCAGAGAGGAACTACTTCGTAACTCGGAGAGAACTACTAGCATTGGTGGAGTGCGTCAAACATTTCCACAAGTACCTCTATGGGCAACGTTTCCGAGTTCGAACGGACCATGCAGCGCTGAAGTGGCTACTACAGTTTAAGAATCCAGAATGACAGCTAGCCAGGTGGATTGAGACACTGCAAATCGCTATTGAGCACCGCAAGGGAAGTGTCCACGGAAATGCTGATGCCATGTCCCGTCGACCACGTAGCCTGGAATGTAAACACTGCTCAAAAGCTGAGGGCCGTCTAACGACAATAACACCAGCGGAAGAGTGGAAGGAAGAACAGCTACGAAAGTGTCAGCAGGAAGATCCAGATCTAGAGGGTATGGGAAAGTGAAGATGGCCAGTGCTCGCGCAACCTAATAGTAGTACCAAGGGTAAGAATTCCAGATATACTCAAGGAATTCCACAATGGTCCTAGTGGAGAGCACCTGGGAATCACGAAGACCCTGGAGAAGATTAAGCAGAGGTTCTATTGGGTTGGTTGTCGGCAATCGGTCGCAGAGTGGATTGCTAACTGCGCAGAGTGTATTGCAGCTAAAGGGCCGAAATCCAGAAGTCATGGCCAGATGAAGCAGTATAACTCAGGTGCACCATTCGAGCGCATTGCCATGGATGTAGCCGGTCCATTTCCTATGAGCGCACAGGGAATACAAAGTGTTTATTGTGTGAAATAGCGCCGAGAGGTTAGTTCAATTTACAAACTTTAACAACAAATAACTTAAAAACTAGAAGCCTGCTGCGGCTAAAAGTATATATATTTGCAATCAGGAGAACTCCCTCTATCGTTCCATAGCTACCTTAATGCGGAACTCCTGGGATGCCAAACTAAATTGCAGCCAAAAGCTCCTCGGGATTCCAGTAAAATTAGTTTTTAATGGCGCGCGATATGTTCGCCTTATATGGATATACATTTATACGTATGTAATTATATAAAAATTATGCAAAGAAATTTATACTATATTTAAAGATAACTACGAAAAATAAATCGGGAACGGAAAGTTCATCAAAAATCTACCAAAATGAGATAAAATTTACCTCTTTACCAACACAAATTTGTTCTACCAATTTTGGTAAAAATGCTAAAGTGCCAACATTGATTATGGCATCATGCATTCTGCCATCATCTTGTCGTTCGGTTCGCGTTGCCGCAGTATTCGCAACTGAAATTTTGACTACCACTGGATTGCACTGGACCTAAAATCATTTTCCAATTGGATTGCTTTTTTATCAGTTTTCATGTCTCTGATCATAGTTCATGCATTTGTATTCCATCGCAATCGGTTAATTATTGGAAGGTTTTTTTGTAACTACCCGTATGTTGTTTGTTGAATAAAGTGTAAGAAAACGGCTGAGGAGCGATTTTTATGTAAATTATTTGCGGATAAAAAATAAAGAAGTCTAATCAGAAATGGCGAAAACTAAAGTTTATGTGGTTGGTGTAGGAATGACCAAGGTGGGTTGGTTCAATGGCAACTAATGGTTGCAACAGAAATGCGGTCGTTGTTATGATGAACTTTGTACTGCACTGCAAAGTGCTGCGTCATAAAGTACCACAAGTAAAGATATGTACATACATATTAATATTTGTACGTACATATTTGTATATACATATGTATATATAAGAGATTTATTAAGTAGGAGACTTGTTTACAAGGCTGGTAGATCCACCTATGTCATACTGGACTCATGTTGTCTGTATGTATGTATATATGTATACTGTATACACTTATATTCTTTCTCCGATAGTTCGAAAAGCCCGGCCGCCGTGCCGATATCTGCTACCCAGATATGGCGAAAGAAGCCATTTCTAAAGCTCTAGAAGATGCACGACTTAATTATTCTGAAGTGCAGCAAGCTGCCGTTGGCTATGTTTATGGGGACTCAACTTGCGGACAAAGAGCTATATATGGCGTTGGTATGACTGGCAT